AAATGGCAAATGAACAAAGCCTAAACAATAAGTTTTTTACCTAGCTAATGGCATTTATATTGATTTATTAATTCACATTATTATACTTAATCAGTATAAAAGCTTTCATCTATTGTTATAATTTTGAATAAAATTTGAACATGAGACTAATATTGCACTGAAAAGCTGCATTTTTAAACATTGTCCATTCAGTAAGATTCATCACCATCAGCTCTTCTTTCACACATAAAACCCCATCTCATATCTCTGAACATTTCATGAGCTATCCTGAAAGAAAGATGTTTGCGCGACTGTTTAATGTTATTCCTTTGCAAAGTACAATAGCTTCTCTTTTAAATCAATGTCCTAAAATGTTGACATTTTTTACTTTTAAGTCTTTAGTTGTCTTCAGGCAAATAAGCAAGTATACACATGAATTTACTGTTCAAGCAAAATCTATACTCATAAGTGAGATAGATACACTCAAACCTGTTTTGGTGCGATATTTTATTTCTGCGATTTTTTTTGTGCAGTATATGAAAATTTCAATCAAATTAGAACATAAATTATGAAGTTATCAATAAAAAAAATAATAATCAATTAAAAAAAGGAGTTTCAATCTTGTATATCTGGCTACTAAGAGATATACTAGCATCTTGTGAAACAAAAGTCATAGCAAAAAAAAACTGATCACAGACTACAGGGTAACTCAAAATAAGTCAACTCTAACTGACTCTATTTTTTATACCCAATTGTGAAGTTTTGTGTGTTTTTTTATGGGGTCTCTATCCACAACACAAACAGGTTTGAGTGTATTTATTACATTCTGGAGGACTTCAATTACAGTGCTCTGTACATGATTTCAAGTGTGCATGATTGCAGCTGAAGCATAAGGAACACAAACCATGAGCATTCCACATCAAAACACATTTTCAAACAGTACATGCAATTAGCAGTCAAGCAGTAAATGGAGTTCTTAGAGTGTGACTGCTTGAAAGTGGCAAGTACAGTCAGTTCATTTTCAGACAATCACACTATAAATCTTGTTAAGTTCAGCCCAGTAGGAGCAGTAGCTTCATGAGTTAGAACACTTCCCTTCCATATAAAGAGAAAATAATCTGCCACAGCTTGCATTGTATGCAGCAAAACATCATCATGCAAAAGGATGGATGAGTACTATTTGTCACTTTTTCCCTAAGCTGGTCACAGATTTGGTTCCAAAAATGAAAATGATGTTGCTAAGTGCACTAAATCTGCCTAGAAGTTATGGTATGTGTTAGGATAACACCAACAAAATCATATATGGACATCAACCATAATTTTCATAGAAGTTCTGACAGACTTTTTGCTTTTGTAGTGAACATAAGTATGATAAACATTTGACTAGCATTTTGCTGTAAGCCTTTATCCATCTTGCTACTTACTGTTCTTGTGCTGTGATGCAGATTTGCTGAAGGCCTTGATGACAACCTTACAGTACAATATCTGGCACATTCAATATTCATCCAACTCTGCCATCCCACTTTTGAAAACATTGACATTGCACTAGATTAAAAGTTAAAGCACAGTTCTACTGCCATCATGCAAACATGTAAAGTAAGAAAGCAGTTTCCATTTATTCTGATGTAAATTACTGATGAATCTGGCATGTGGTCTAAAAGGGATTACCTGCAGTTTGATGGTTTAATAGCTTGATTTTATAGTTTTAATAGCAGTTTTGACACTGTTAAAACTCTAACTCATGCACACTGTGAACTAAGAGATTAAATGCTTTATAAATTGAAAATTATGGCTAATCTTTGGAATATGGTAACAGGTAGTTCGGTGACATTTTGGTAAGGCGGGTAAAGGTTACTAGCTAGGATTTTAGCAGTGTACATGGATAAAATCAAAAGTGTGCACAATGCCATTTTTGTGCAATTCTGGGATTTTTTTAAAGTGAAAATAGGTCGACGTGTACATGGATGATATCGTGTATATGCAATTCTTAAAAATGTGACAAGCAGTGGGCGATTCTGCACTTTGTCCCAATTTCGCACCTAATCTTCGTCATGATTAAGCACTTTTTGTTCCATAAAAGTTCTAGCATAAGCGTAATTCGGCTAGCAGATTGTTGGAAAAAATGTTTAGAAAAAAAAATGCCTTTACTTCATGAAAACAAAATCTAGCAGGGTTGGTCGCCAAATTTTCTCCAAAAAATCGTAAAGTTACCATAATCCAAAGACTAACCAAAATTATTTGTTTCATCAAGAAGTATTTAACAGCGTTTGATGGAAAAAGGCCTTTCAAGCTTATGATCTCTTTATGTCATTTGTTTTCATGATGTCAATATCACATAAATGCCTTTGATGACACTAGAGCAATCAGGCTACAAGTCAGGCTGAAATGGCTTTCTACATGCATGCATTTTCCGCCCCCCAAAACCTATTATTATGTAGCACAATTTTACTACACCACCTACAATGTAGTCTATCAACGACCGAAACAAGAAATTTGAGGAAACTGGCTATGCAAGAGGAAACCCCTCAAACATCACCAATATCAGAAGAAACAGTAATTTGTCCTAATGAAAGCTGATATATTCAGCCTGAAGAAGTCAACAAGACATGAAGTTTAGAGCCACAAAGTCCACAAAAGACTGAGCACAAACCTTAGATAAATGTTTACAAGATGCAGTTACTGCAGAGCATTAATAAAAGGAACAAAAATTTTTGATCACTTTTCCAGCATGGCCATGCAGTCATGGAGAGAAGTAATAAGGTTTCTTTGCCTAACTAATATTTGGCGACGAAACAACTTTCTGCATTAGGGGTATACTGAAAAAGGGAAACTGGAAATATGAAAGCTATAGTAGAGCATTTGATGGATTCACCTAAAGCAATGTAGGGTTAAAAATTACATGAATGAAAATTCTGCCTTTATGTTGAATGATTGTTCAAGCCTAAAACATGTCATGCTGGTTACCAAGAAGTCTGAATTTAACATTTGTGATATTTTCTTCTGAGGTACATCAAGGACGGAGTTTTTGTTCCTCCACTTCGTAATAGTATAGATGACACTTACCCACTGCAAATAGCTACCAGTTATACAGCACACCCTAATCATAGCTACATAAATAAAATTCCTTTTTTTTTTTCTTTGCAAAGAGTTACACAATGCCTCATAACAGGTGCGTGAATGTTGACATAACATATTTTGAAACAGATATCAACTAATATAAAACAGTCATACAGAAAACATTTGTAACTTAGCCATGTAAACTTCAGGCTTATTCTTCCAACCAATACAGTATTTAAGTGACATTATTAAAACTTTTGTTTCTGCAAAATGTAACTTATCAATTTCACTCAGCTTGCCCTGTATTTATTAATGTAAAAATTTTAATTACCTATATCAGGGTTTCTTAAACTATGGGTTGCGACCGCAGCAGGGGGTCGCCAAAAATTTTAGCAGTTTTGATACTTAACTTATTATAATAATTTTACAATTACCAAATATTTATACGGAATGTATCTGAAAATAGAAAAAGATAAGACAATATAGACAAAGAAAAAAAAAAAATATTTCGAGGCATTCTTTTTGTAATATAAACGTTCATTTTCCTTGCGCTTTGCACATGACGCTGTCATTTCATCTGTTACTTAATTAAAATTTTCAAATTGTTCTATGTCTTAAAATTAGAAATTAAAGTTAATGACCTAAACCTGCAATAGTATATTACAGTACAAATGAAAAAAATTGACAGTTTCACTCATGTGTGTGTCGGATTTGCGCAATGCTTATGGCGCCACACAAAATTTTTGTAAATATTATGAGGTCCTGGGGGTCACGAAAAAATCTCAGTGATAAAAAGGGGTCACGACTGAAAAACGTTTGAGAAGCCCTGACCTATATTATAGGTATCATAATACCATTTATAAATGTATTTCATAAAGTAAGTTTATCTAAAGTAATTATTTTATAAATGTACTTATTAACAGATATATGGATAATTTCCCCCCCATGAAAAAACAGTGTGCGAATTAACTTACCTCAGCAAGCAAGTCACATGGCAGCCGACTCCATATTTGCCCAAAGATTGCAATGTAGGGTTAAAAATTACATGAATGAAAATTCTGCCTTTATGTTGAACTGATTGTTCAAGCCTAAAACATGTCATGCTGGTTACCAAGAAGTCTGAATTTAACACTTGTGATATTTTCTTCTGAGGTACATCAAGGACGGAGTTTGTGTTCCTCCACTTCGTAAAAGTATAGATGACACTTAGCCACTGCAAATAGCTACCAGTTATATACAGCACACCCTAATCATAGCTACATAAGTAAAATTCCTTTTTTTTTTCTTTGCAAAGAGTTACACAATGCCTCATAACAGGTGCTGTGAATGTTGACATAGACATATTTTGAAACAGATTATCAAACTAATATAAAACAGTCATACAGAAAACATTTGTAACTTAGCCATGTAAACTTCAGGGCTTATTCTTCCAACCATATACAGTATTTAAGTGACATTATTAAAACTTTTGTTTCTGCAAAATGTAACTTATCAATTTCACTCAGCTTGCCCTGTATTTATTAATGTAAACTTTATATGTCTGATTACTATTGTGCAGCTTCTAATCCTGAACTTTTTTGAAAACTTAATTCTGGTTACCAATAGTTTTAGTCACATTATTATTGCAGTTAAATTTCACTGATGAATAGCTTAAACACTTAATCAGCATACACAATAATGAAATTGAAATATATGTGTGATTACTATTGTGCAGCTTCTAATCCTGAACTTTTTTGAAAACTTAATTCTTGTTACCAATAGTTTCAGTCACATTATTATTGCAGTTAAATTTCACTGATGAATAGCTTAAACACTTAATCAGCATACACAATAATGAAATTGATTATTTATTATATTACATTCAATTATTGCTTTTGATGGAAAAGTTTTATAATATGCACTTTTCTTTGAAAAATTAGAAAATAAAAAGTAAAAGAATGTCAACAGAAATCAAGTTAAATAGAGAGAATATTTTGAAACTGATTTTATTCAAAACACCTTCCAACATCATAAATACCTATGAACTTCTCTGTTGACAACATACAATTATTTCAAAAATAAACTGACTATAAGATGGAGTAAGATGAATAAAAAAAAACTTGAATTATTAAAAAATTGCATTTCACTCTAAAGTTACAACAAATGGAATGTACAGAACATGATATTCCAAAAATATATACCATAGGTATGACATCGGAATTACTGAAGTCTATGCAATGTCTATATTATTTGATATTTATGTAACAATTTTCTCACACAGGCACAAATTTATATATTCTTTTTATTTATTTGAGCACAAAAATCCAATCACAACATCAAAGGCATGGAATAACAGACACCTAAAGAAAAAAAAAAAAAAAGTGTAAAAGATATGAATGCATTTTCAGTAACACGAATTAGATTAAAATTTAGTTTAGTGATGAAATTTCTGGCATACATACATTCCCAACTATTTCACAGCAATCCTTATACATAGTCAATGAGCTTTATTTTACCAGCCTCATAGGCTTGTTTTAATTTGTGTTCCATTCTCATGGTTTTCAAAACTAGGTCAAATAATAGTTGTGTGACAGTGTACAAATACAGGATAATTCAGTGCTAATCATCCAGTTTCATATTTTTGTCATTTTAGAAATCAATAAAATAAAATTATAAATACCATATGAATGTAAATGAAATATTGTCAAGTTTTAGTACATAGCTCATGATTTAATGAATTGTTTTGAGAAAAAATAAAAATGCCATGAAAAGAGGAAAAAAAAAAGCTTTCTGCATATTGTGATTTGCATATCAGTCTAGTGCAATGAACCAAACAATATGGTTTTAAAACAGCTGGTCTCCTGTGTAATTTTTTAGAAAGTACGCAAACAACTCACAAGCTTAAATACAAATTCATTTCTGTTGCTTTAAAATCAATGACTATGGACACATTGAAACATCATGCAGTATTTTTTCATATCATTTTGACATCATGCATGTAATAATGAAAAATATTTTGAATATCCATATATAAAACACAAACACTTCCCTTTCCTATTCACACATTACATTGTGTGGTTAATTTTTAAAATTATAAAAATCTGAAACTGGATGATTCTTTCTGATTTTCCAAATATTACATATAATGCTGTATCTGATTCTTCAGTCTTTAGATGAGAATAATTTTGTTATGCTTCAAAAATATTCACATCATAAATTTTTATTTTTTAGAGTAATACAATCAATATTTCTGTACACTGCCAAGAATTAACTTAAATGGAGAACATCAATTCTTGAATTATTACAAACTTTATCACTATTTAAGTTATTTATAATCATAGAGTTGCCTCTGCAGAAACTATGTGTCACACATAATTCACTTTAAACAGAAAGCTAGAAATGAATAACATCTGACAGAAAGGTACTGCAAAAGCCAAAACTAGGAATAAGCAATTTGAGATACCAAAAGTTCTTGAAAGGGATCAAACACAGATGATAAGGAAGCAAAACAATTTTACTACTTACTACACTACACTATGCTTAGTATAAATATAAATTATGCATGCAATGGAAAAAAAATGTGTTATTATGACAATTACTATAGTGATAGATTTGAACCCAACTGATGCAATACATAAATGCCAGCTGAACTAAATTTTTAGATGCCAATATCATAATACATTGTAATAAAAAAATCACTGCACACTTGATGTAATCACTGCTTGTCAAGCCCCTAAATAAGCCCCTTTATTGAAATTGTGAACAATATTATTGTGATCATTTCCCTGCCCAATTAAAATATGAAATTCATCAAACCTACTTTCAGCAAGTGTGGTGGCTCATGCTGTTTATGGCTTCTCTAGAAGGCATTTTAAAGATAACAGCACTCAATCACATTTGCCATCCATGATTTTGAAACTCTTCATCCAGTTTGCTACCATGTAAACTGGAAAGCACATTTTTTTCAATAAACCCTGAGCACTAGATGAACTAAAGTATGCCGCAGAATGATACATTAAGCATTCAGATGCCCAGATGATATAGGAATTAGGTAGCCTATTGCGATACCAAAGGGCCTAGATTCGAATCCCAGAGACTGTAATTGTCTGTCCCTTCATAGAAGGTAACAATGGCACACCTATTATGTGCTTCCACAATAAATTGGCCACCACTTCTGGGCTTAGTAGTGGCCAAGCCTGAATTGGTTACGTTCCCACAAATGGCGGGGGATATTCAGACTGTTGTGTACAGGAGGCTCATGAGAGTCACTTTTAACACCTAATGTAGATAAATTTTTACTCTTTGGTTAGCAACATTTTGATCACCTTGCACTATACTTATCAAATCACTACGAAATTAATGCAAAGCATATAATTTCACATGCTGATTTCCAACGATGTAAAAAGTACATACAAGAGCACTATAAAAAATTATGATAAAGATGTATTACAATTAAACATATTTTCATTCACATATTAGATAAATTATTAAAAAAAGTAAAATAAAGTTTTAAATTATGTGGAAGTGCATTTATTGTTTTTAAAAGCACAGTTTGTAATTCAAAAACATACCTAAGAATGAGTAAATTTGAAAACATAATGACGATAAATCAGGAGCTAACTTGATAAGCAGCATAAAACTCCACTGCCTGAATAAAGGTGAATAATTTTACACTTTTAAGTCTATCATAAAAGGTTCACCACTGTGTTGTTTTGCCCAAATTTGAGCAAACATACCAATATGCGAATATTCTTTGTAATAATATCATAATAAATTTTGAAAAATACCGAAGTTAAAATTTGATAGCTTAGAAGGTTCCAGAATACAATATTAAAATTAAAAGCACACTCACCTATTAGACTGCTGATGTTGAATTGATGACAGAAATAAATAAATATTCTCCAACAAGTTCTTTCGTATGCTACAATGCATATGTTTTGTGACATAATTAGAATCAAGAAACACTGTAAGCAAATACTGTAATTTAATAACAATAATAAATAAAGGTAAAAGGAATACATTAAAAGTATAAAATGATCAAATTAATTACATTTCTATAAGTCAATAAAAAAAGAATAATTTTTTAAAATTATGCTAACATATGTTATGATGACACTAAATAGATCAATAAAGAATGTCACTCTATCCAACAGTGTTCAAAAATAGGCAAAATGTATAAATAAATACAAGACTATCAACTATGCTATTTAATTGCAATTAAAAATTACCAAAAAATTAGCATCACAATCTACAAGTTTTTTTTTTAATAAATTAGTTATCAAATAAATATAACAATTTTGTGAATTAAAAGTCATACTTAGAATTTGCTCCATATCATTAAAATATAAAAGATATAAATGAATAAGCTAATTATGTATGAAATACATTAAAAGAAATTACTCCAATAAAATGTTCACATTACGTTGTTTTAGATGACATCACGAATGCTGACTTATCACATTTTCCAAAACATTAACATAAAATATTGGTTTGTATTTTTCCTCAGAGGAAATGTTGCAACACTCCAATTTCACTCGCTATATTTTCTATTGATGCAGCCTGACATTTTTCTATAATATTTCCTGGATGGACCGCATTATTATTTGCATTGGATAAATTCTTTACACAATTTAAATTTTACCAACTGCAACATTCATGGCATATTTACTTTTCCAGAATATTCAAGCAGTACACCTTGTGAGACAACCCTCATATGCTTTGTTATACAGTACTGCTCATTAGGTTCACTGGTTAATAAAATCAACTGTTTATTATGCTCAATTTTCCGGAACCAAATCGAATTTATATTAAACAACAGAAAAATCCACCATTCTACCGCTTATATAACTAGATCTTCAGTGACAGAATATCCTAATAAGTGGCATAGTGAAAGGAGTAAAGGGTACCTTGCCCGAAGTGCCGCTCGCAGAGGGGTGCCAAATGGTCTCCAAGAGGTAAGATTTTCTGGAAGATTCCAATTATTATTTTGGTCGATTTCTTAGAAAAAGGTCTTAAATTAATAATTATTGTAATATAATTATTTCCTTTCTTGATTTGTCTGATAAAATATGTTATAAATATTTATGTTTGCTGTAACTCAATCAGATATCTCCCTATACAAAATGTTCTTTTGTCTTTCTTCCTGAACAATTTAATTTTCAAAATTAGTGAAATATTTAATTTTTTTAAAATTAAATGCACATACAGCTCACACTTGTTATATTAAAATGATAAAAAACAATATACTATAGTCCATATATTGAAAGCTCTTTGGACCTCAACCATTATTAATTCGGTGACTGAATTTTAAACACGGAGATCTTTGATATACATTTTACTTTTTAACACCTACTTTGATGATTCCATTATTCAGTGAACAGTGCATGAGCAAAACTGTTAACAGTGTTCAATAAAGTAATTGAAGAGATAAACAATTTTCAAATTTTATTACTATATTGTTTGCAATTTGCAATAAAGTAAGTTTTCCTTTTTATATTTTATTTACTGTAATTGTGTTGTTCATAAGTAATGTCTTAATTAGTATAATAAAAATTATTTTCTTAGTTAGACCAGGCCAATGCCAAAGGAAAAAACTTAGCAGTTCTCAGAATAGGAAAAGAAAACTAGAGCAAGAAAATGAAGCTCCGAACTCCAGAATAAGAAGGGAATCATATTTAGTAAAAAAAATTGCAAAAGGAAAAACCAGAAGATAGAAGGATAAACTGAAATCAGAGTCAGAAACAGATTCAGACTGTACTCCTACTGCTGCTAAAATTCTATGCGACAACACATCACAACATTACAAGACTCTGAAGATGGGGCCCGTATACATCAGAAGTTCCAAACCTATGTACGTAAATATAATAAATAAATAATCTAATAAAAAGTATAGAAAATGCAACAGAAACACTCTAATTCTGGACGTTCTGGAGTTCAAAGTTATTGCTTATTTAAAATTCGCTAATTAATCTTCAATTAATATCGCATCACCTTCGCACAGAAGCGGTTATTCGTGGATCCAGCATATTTCAAGATGAATCCAGTCTAAATGCAGTAACAAATAATCGTCTAAATATGTGAATCTCAACTGGTGGTACCCAAGAGAAAACTAGGTGGTACACAAAGAAACAAGTATTTTTAACTATTAAATAAAAAAATTACATACCCTAACATCCTGTTTAATTTTTTCTTTAACACTCGTAAATTCATGCGACCTGAGCTTCGCTTAAGGTCAATAGCTGCTCATAGACATTAGCAAAATAATCCATTTTTATTTTTACAAATAATCCTTTAACCATAGACATAACAAATTTGTCATAAATGATGTTTTTAAAAGGAGTACTAGAGAGAGGAGTCAAATGAGAATACTTAATAGGGGAAAAAATAAAGTACACATAAAAAGATAATAGTACCTCATTAATTATTTTACAGTTGATTGATTTATTAGCATGTCTTCACTTTACATCACCAGCATTTCTAGGCTACATTGCTCTATTTTCAATTGAAATAATTTTTTTATGATGATATTCTGTCTCTAACAGCTGGTATTTTGTCTTCTTTGTGGCTTTTTATTCCTTACTTTTCTACACAATTTGAGAATATTGCCATCTGTTTTTGAAGAACTCGTAATATATTGTGCATTTAAATACTTGTGGAAAAAAAAAAAAATAAAAAAATAAAACAAACCTAGATTTTTCAAAATGGAAAAATGGCTAGGATTGACTATGCGGCAAAGTGATGATTCACAGGTGATGGATCCACGACAATCTACTAGCACTAGAAATATTGAAAAGGAAAATTGTTTATAGCAAATACAATAAAAGTTATTTATCATTTGGGTTTACTCAGAATGGAGATGAAATGGATCCTCAACCAAACTATGAAACCATCGTTTCTTTAAACACATCTTGAATCTAAGAATGCCAATTTAAAGGATAAATTGAAAGAATATTTTAAGAGGACATTATCAGGTTCAAAAATAGCAAACACGTAATGAAGGTTTTGTTACTTCAAGGGAAAAGCTTTGGAAACTAGTTATCTAGTAAGCCTAAGAACTGCCAACACTGGGCAGGGCCACACTCTTGGAGAAAACCTTATATTACCAGAGCTAAAGATATCGTTATAACATTATTCAATGAAAAAGTGGCTAATGAACTTGATAATATTCTGATTCCAAATGATGCAGTAAGTGGATGAATTTATGAAATTCCAAATTCCATAAAAGAGACACTTATTCAAAAAATAAAACACAGTGAAAATTTCACACTGCAACTGGATGAAAGTAGTGATATAACAAATTTTGTTCAATTATTAGTTTACATACATTTTAAAGAAGATAAACAAATTGACCATGAGTATTTAGTTTATGAATCCCTTCATGATAGCAACTGCAATTGACATTTTCAAAGTAACTGACAATTTTATATCTGAGAATAATATTACTTAGAATAAGTGCATCCACATGCAGTGATGGAGCTCGGGCTTCAACAGGAAAACATTCCAGTTCTGTTTCTCAAATAAAGAAAGTCACACCTAAAACTAATATTACTCATTGCTCCATTCATCGTGAAGCTTTAGTAACTAAAACATTCCCCAAAAACATGAAAATCGCTTTGAATCAAGCTGTGAAAATTGTTAATTTTCTAAAATCCGAGATTTAAATTCAAGAATATTTACAATTTTATGCCAAGAGATGGGGAGTGAACATAAAATATTTTTTTACATTTCAGTAACGTGGTTATGCGAATGCAAAGTTTTAAATTGTCTTTTTGAACTTTGATCAGAATTTCAAACTTTCCACAGTGATTCAAAATTTCAGGTGCAAAATGTTTTATTTAATGAATTAAGGTTGGCACGTTCAGCATACTTAGCTGATATTTTTCAAAAGTTAAATGAATTAAATTTAGGATTACAAGGACAAAGTGTTAATTTGTTTACTATTAGAGATAAAATAAAGGCAATGATAAAAACACTTAGCTAATAATGAAATAATATTTTAAGCTTTTTACCACTTTTAGAAAGTTTTCTAGCCAAAAACAATATGAAAGTAAGAAAAAGAATTAGCATCTGGCATTAAAAATCATTGTTTTTTCCATTGATAATTTCAACACGATTTTTCCCTAAGATTATGAAAAACAAAATTGGATTAGAAATCATTTTGTTCAAATAGATCTGAAATTTTATCTCGTAAAGAAAAAGAACAATTAATAGAAATTTCCTGTGATCGAATTCTAGCTGAAGATTTAAAAAATAACCCATTTGTTAACTTTTGACTAAACACACACACACA